TAGGGAATTTAGGGAATTCAGAATATAGGAAATTGGGAATCTAGGGAACTGGGAATCTAGGGAATTTAGAATATAGGAAATTGGGAATTTAGGGAATTCGGAATATAGGAAATTGGGAATATAGGAAATTGGGAATCTAGGGAATTTAGAATATAGGAAATTGGGAATTTAGGGAATTCGGAATATAGGAAATTGGGAATATAGGAAATTGGGAATCTAGGGAATTTAGAATATAGGAAATTGGGAATTTAGGGAATTCGGAATATAGGAAATTGGGAATATAGGAAATTGGGAATCTAGGGAATTTAGAATATAGGAAATTGGGAATTTAGGGAATTCGGAATGTAGGAAATTGGGAATCTAGGGAATTGGGAATCTAGAGAATTGGGAATCTAGGGAATTGAGAATCTAGAGTATTGGGAGTCTAGGGAATTTGGAATTAAGGGTATTGGGAATCTAGGGAACTTGGAGTCTAGGGAATTTAGAATCTAAGGAATTTGGATTTTTGGGGATTTTAGCACCTAGGGAATTTGCAATCTGAGGAATTTGGAACATAGGGAATTGGCAATCTAGAGAATTTGGAATTTAGAGAATAATGAATCTAGGGAATTTGGAATTTAGAGAATTTTGAATTTGGGAATTTTGAATTTAGGGAATATTATCTCTAGGGAATTTGGACTCCAGAGAGATGGGAATCTAGACAATTTTGAATCTAGGGAATTTGGAATTTATGGAATTTCGAACATCGAGAATTTGGAATCTAGGAAATTTTTGATCTAGGGAGTTTTGAATTTGGGAATTTTGAATTTAGGGAATTAAGAATTTAGGGAATATTAAATCTAGAGAATTTGGAATCCAGAGAGATGGGAATCTAGAAAATTTGGAATCTAGGGAATTTGGAATTTATGGAATTTTGAACCTAGAGAATTTGGAATCTAGAAAATTTTTGATCTAGAGAATTTTGAATTTGGGAATTTTGAATTTAGGGAATTGGGAATTTAGGCAGAATGGAATCTAGGGAATTTGGAATCCAGAGAGATGGGAATCTAGACAATTTTGAATCTAGGGAATTTGGAATTTCTGGAATTTTGAACCTAGAGAATTTGGAAACTAGGAAATTTTGAATTTGGAAATTTCGAATGTAGGGAATTTGGCACCCAGTAAATTTTGGATCTATGGAATTTTTAATCTAGGGAATTGGGGCTCTAGAAAATTAGTAATCTAAGGAATTGAAAATCTCTGGAATTGGAAATCTAGGGAATTTTTCTCGGACTAGAAAACCTATAAATTTTAGGTATAAAAATTCCAAAATCTAGTAATTAACAAATTTAAAAATTGCAGAACAAAAAATTTGAAACTACAATTCACCAATCGAAAAAATGTAAAGAATCCAATAAGCGACTCAATGAAAATTTGAGAATGCGCAGATAAATTAGTACAAATTACCCAGTAATCGTGAATAAATTCCATCGTAGTTGAACTCGTTCGCAATTCCCTCGTCAAAGGCAAAATCATCCATCCGTCCGTCGTCGAACAATCGTGCGCACGTTTATCGGTCGCCGAACAGTCGTCCGGCCTCAAAAAGTGTCGAAAAATCTCCAACAATACCGCCGAATGTCCGTCGTTTCGTTCACACACGGGTAAGTACTGAAAATCGAGGCACGTTCCAGGCAAACACAAATTCGATCTCGTCCGGCAGATCTGACGATTCGAAAATCTGACGCACAGGAAACCGAGGGGGTCAAAGAAGGGCGGGGAGCTGATTGCGATCCACGTACAGGAAGTTCCTGGAAGAGGGATTTAATTCCAGTCCAGAAATGCATGAAAATCAGTCTCGAATGGCGTTGCACTCGAATGTTCGAGGGAACTCGCTCGGCCTCCATTTTCGCGAGGATTAATTAACGTGGCCCTGATTAATCGTCGAAACGAAAACGACCGCTCGACCCTGCCCGATTTTCTCGGTCAAGGGCCACTAAGAAACGAGGATTTTACTAAATACGTTGCTCGTGTCCTTGGGAAATTAACAGAATTGATTAGGAAGAATCTGGACGAAAGGGTTCGTTAGTTAGAACGCTTACGTTCGCTGCGGACTGATCGTTTGATGAGTAAATTAAATTCGGAGGAATTATGGTGGTATTATATGTAGGTATGTTGATAGTCTGAGGAATTAATTATAGGGACTTTTAGTTGTTGTGATGTTTAACGTTAGAAAATAAATTAATATATATATCACTCATTGTCAGTAGTCGTGCATATTGAGAGTAAAGTGGCTTTTAATTATGAGTGTTCACATATTAAGTCATGTGAGAGGCAAAATTATAGGGAAACTGAGCATAAGTGTTTCTTTCAAATTTTTGGAAATTTCATATCTTGGATATTTGATACCTTGAGAATTTGATACCTGAGAAATTTGATACTAGAGAAATTTGATATCTTCGAAATTTAATACCTGGGGTATTTGATACGTTGGAAATTTGATACCTGGGAAATTTAATGCATGGGAAATTTGATACCTTGGAAATTTGATACCTGAGAAATTTAATACCTTGGAAATTTGATACCTTGGAAATTTGATACGTTGGAAATTTAATACCTGGGAAATTCGATACCTTGGAAATTTGAAACCTGGGAAATTTGATACCTTGGAAATTTAATGCATGGGAAATTTGATACCTTGGAAATTTGATACCTGAGAAATTTAATACCTTGGAAATTTGATACCTTGGAAATTTGATACGTTGGAAATTTAATACCTGGGAAATTGGGTACCTTGGAAATTTGATACCTTGGAAATTTTGTATCTTGGGAATTTGATACCTGGGAAATTCGATACCTTGGAAATTTGAAACCTGGGAAATTTGATACCTTGGAAATTTAATGCATGGGAAATTTGATACCTTGGAAATTTGATACATGGGAAATTTGATACCTGGGAAATATTATACCTTGGAAATTTGATACCTGGGAAATTTGATACCTTGGAAACTCGATCCCTTGGAAATTTAATACCTGGGAAATTGGGTACCTTGGAAATTTGATACCTTGGAAATTTGATACGTTGGAAATTGAATACCTGGGAAATTGGATACCTTGGAAATTTAATACCTTAGAAATTTGACACCTAGGAAACTTGATACCTCGGAAATTTGATACCTTAGAAATTTGATATCTTAGAAACTTGATACCCTAGAAATTCAATACCTTGCAAACCCAAAATATCCAAATATCCAACAACATCAACACTCCAAACCTTAATCGCATAAAAACTAGAAATTTCCAAAAACTTGCCAACAAAAAATTCCAAAACTCCAAAAATCCACCAACTTAAAAACTAAAAGCTCCAAAACTCCTCCCTCTAAAAAAAAAACTGCTCCCAGAAAATTTCTCTCAACAAAAGCACGAATCTCTCTCATGAATGTGAATAATATTAATTGAGCATAATGTCCGTAGCGAATGTGTTAACAGAAAGTAAATTAAGTTTGACGACGTTTCATAAAGCGAAGCATGTTTGCAGAGGTCTGGTTGAAAGTTTCATCTCTATTTACGCTTGCTTAATTAAGCCACGAACCACGAGGGGCTAATTAAAGAACTCAACCAGACGATTGTTAATTTCGCTAACGCCAGCTTTGAGTTAATACCGCGATTCACACATTTTTTACCGCCTGTCATAGATTAACCTCCTTTTTATCTTATCTTTCTTATAAACAATTACGCTTTCATTGTACAATCAACAATTTCTGTGTTTTATTCATTTTTAAATAAACAGTTACAATTTTTTAGCGATATTCATTTGAATTTTTTATGAAGATGTTTGGTTGTGTTATTTTTGTTTGTATGGACGTTCAGATGGTTAGCTAGATGGTCATCTAGATGATCATCTAGATGGACATTTGTTTAGTTTTTGTTTAGATGTTCATCTAGATGATTATTTGACTAATATTTATTTAGATGTTCTTTTAGATGTTCATCTAGAGATGTTCATTCAAATAATATTCATCTAGATATTCATCTAGATGGTTATCTAGATATTCAATCAGATAATAATCCATTAGATGTTCATGTAGATGATCATCTAGATGTTTATTCGAATAGTAATCCACTAAATGTTCATGTAGATAGTCATCCAAATGTTCAATTGAATAGCAGTCCACTAGATGGTCATCTAGATGGTTATCTAGATGTTCAATCAAATAGTAATCCATTAGATGTTCATGTAGATGATCATCCAGACGTTCATTTGAATAGTAATTCACTAAATGTTCATGTACATGGTCATCTAGATGTTCAATTGAACAGCAGTCCATTAGATGGTCATCTAAATGGTTATCTAGATGTTCAATCAAATAGTAATCCATCAGATGTTCATGTAGATGATCATCCAGATGTTCATTTGAATAGTAATTCACTAAATGTTCATGTACATGGTCATCTAGATGTTCAATTGAACAGCAGTCCATTAGATGGTCATCTAGATGGTTATCTAGATGTTCAGTCAAATAGTAATCCATTAGATGTTCATGTAGATGATCATCTAGATGTTCATTCGAATAGTAATCCACTAAATGTTCATGTAGATGGTCATCTAGATGTTCAATTGAATACTAGTCCATTAGATGATCATGTAGATGATCATCTAGATATTCAATCAAATAATAGTCCATTAGATGTTCATGTAGATGATCATCTAGATGTTCATTCGAATAATATTTTTTAAATATTCATCCAGATGTCCATTCAACTAATCTTCATTTATAGATGATCACGTAGATGATTACCTAGATAATCATCTATGATAATCATCTAGATGATCATCTAGATACTCATCCAGATATCCAATTAACTACTCTTCCTTAAGAAGTTCATTTAAATATCGACACAACTAATGTTCCTCTAAATGCCCATTCAAGATATTCATCTAGATGATCACTCAGATAAAAACTTCTCCCAAACTCCATCTCAAATTTCCCTCCACGAGACAACGTAATTAATAAGACAAAATATCTGAAGCTGTTCGAGTTTATTCGAAATCATTTCCATGAATGCAACGTACAGCGATCCTTACAATCAAGCAAAATAACAGTCTTACAACATCTCTCCACGAAGAGACAAAGGTCGGGGTACAAACGTCGTCAAACAGAACGAGAAACAGCCATATCACCCTTTCGGTTATCAATTCGCGGGCAACAAACGGGGGAAGAAACGGGCGATTTTCGACGCCCCGAGGATCCAGATAACCGTTCGTCGAAAGCAACTTCTGTCGTGGATCGCAAGAAACATGCTCGGCGCAACTGTTCACGGGGGTTTTTCTCGCTAGACGAACTGAGACGGCGTTTTCCAACAACTGGCACAGCAGGGTAAGGCGCTCTTCAAGGTGTCCTTGAAGGCCTCGCGGAAGTCGCGGTTAAAGTACGCGTAGATCAGTGGATTTAGGGCGCTGTTGAAGTAACCTATCCAGAAGAGGACGGACACCACCGTGTCTGGACAGTAGCAGGCTTCTCCGCACAGGCTCGTAGTTACGTACCTGAAATCAAATAGGTATTGTTAGAATTATTGGTGGAAATGTGGGGGGTTATTGGTGTTTGGTCTTTTGGGAGATGTGGACAGGGCGAATGTTTGGGGTTGTGAGGGATGATTGTTTAGGAGTTTAGGGATTTAGGGGATGAGGGGTTTAGATGAGAAATTGAGGAATTTGGGAATTAAGGTATTTGGGAATTTGCGAATTTGCGAATTTGGGAACTAGGGAATTTGGAAACTAGGGAGTTTGGGAACTAGAGAATTTAGGAACAAGGGAATATGGGAATTTAGGAAGTAGAGAATCTGAAAATTCGGGAATTGGGGAATTGGGGAACTTTTGAATTTTGGAATATTGGAATTTGGGAATCTGGGAACTAGGGAATTTTGGAATTTAGGAACTAGGGAACTAGGATATTTAGACACTAGAGAATTTTTGAACTAGAGAGCTGGAGAATTTGGGAATTTGGAAATTTAGGAATTGGGAAATTCTGGAACTTGGGAATTTGGTAACTAGGGAATTTGGGAATTTAGAATCTAGGGAACTAGGGAATTTGGAAACTAGAGAATTTGAAAACTAGAGAGTTGGAGAACTAGGGAATTTGGAAATTTAGGAATTGAGAAATTCTGGAATTTGGGAATTTGGTAACTAGGGAATTTGTGAATTTAAAATCTAGGGAACTAGGGAATTTGGACACTAGAGAATTTGGAAACTAGAGAGTTGGAAAACTAGGGAATTTGGGAATTTGGAAATTTAGGAATTGGGAAATTCTGGAACTTGGGAATTTGGTAACTAGGGAATTTGGGAATTTAGAATCTAGGGAACTAGGGAATTTGGAAACTAGAGAATTTGAAAACTAGAGAGTTGGAGAACTAGGGAATTTGGAAATTTAGGAATTGAGAAATTCTGGAATTTGGGAATTTGGTAACTAGGGAATTTGTGAATTTAAAATCTAGGGAACTAGGGAATTTGGACACTAGAGAATTTGGAAACTAGAGAGTTGGAGAACTAGGGAATTTGGGAATTTAGAAATTTAGGAATTGGGGAATTTTGGAATTTGCGAATTTGGAAATTTGGGAATCTGGGAACTAGGAAATTTTGGAATTTAGGATCTAGGGAACTAGGGTATTTGGACATTAGAGAATTTTGGAACTAGAGAGTTGGAGAACTAGGGAATTTGGGAATTTGGAAATTTAGGAATTGGAGAATCTTTGAATTTGAGAATTTGGTAACTAAGGAATTTAGGAATTGGGAGCCGGAGAACTAGGGATTTTTGGAACGGGGGAATTTAGGAACTGGGGAATTTGGGAACTAGGGAATTTAGGAATTTGAGTGCTAGAAAATGAGAATCTAGGGAATTTGGGAATTTTGGGAACTAGGGAGTTTGGAAACTAGGGAATTTGGATACTAGGGAATTTGGGAATTTGGGAACTAGGAAATTTGGAAGTTTGGAAATCTGGAAATCTGGAAATCTGGAAATCTGGAAATTTAGAAATTTGGAAATGTGGAAATTTGAAAATTTGAAAATTTGGAAGTTTGGAAATTTAAAAATTTGAAAATATGATATTCCAAGAATTGAAAAGCATAAAAATTCTATAGTTCATCCACCAGTAAACGAATGATTCAAATTGCAAACGTATTCCCATCCAAATGATGCCTACAGTGTATTTACCTCCAACAGCGAACATAACCCACATAAACACAGTAAATATTACAGAGTTTCTGTATTACAGTAACCGAGGTTCACCAACTCATTTCGCATTATTGCGACTTTGTAATAAAGTTTTAATAGCTTTATTATTGCATTTACGTAACATTCCTCTTTCATTGCAACCGATAAAATATACCGAGAACGTTCCACTGAATACCTGGTACAACCTTACATTAAAAGTACATTAATTTTTTAATGAAATGAATTTTATTTTCAATCAATCGGAATCGTGCAAGCCAAGAGCGGTTTTCGAAAAGCCACAGTAAATGCAGAAGCAATCGAGCTGTTTCAATGAAACATCTATTACGTTCCTCGTTCACGAATCGCAATGAAAATACCTCGATTAATTAATTCCCGTTCGGCGGACAACGTCATATTATCTGGCATTATGTTGCTTGTTCGACGGGTCACGATTCAAGAGCAATTATAAATCGGCCAATTCCGAATCTTCCGTCTCCGTTCCGAATAACGACAGTTCAACTTTCCATCGCTCCAATTTTCGATTCGAACGCTGCCTTACGAAATGAACCCGTTACGACGAACGAACCGTGCGCAGGGAAAGGTACGAATACGAGACGCGGCAGAAATACGAGACACGAAGGTTTTCATTTACGTGGAGTACTCGAGTCTTCAACGATGACCGAAAATGAAGTACGAAGACTGGAAGGCTCTATCAGGTTGTCGCGCACAAAATGGCCGATCTCGGAGCGTCGAATGTCTGACGCGATTCGATGACACAAAAGCACTACCGGCACTTACGATACATCGAAGCTTAAAGTCTGCTGAAAACGATCGTAAACTTTTCGTAATCTTTTTAGCAAGAATTGGCTGTCGGAAAATCCGATTTCTCTGTGCAATGTTTGTCTAACGATTAACAGTTACCGATATTAGATGATTTTGAACGAACCAAGCTTTAAATTGAGCAGGTTACGATAATTTTATATAATCAAATTGTGCAGTACAGGTATTTACGATGGTTTTGTCAAATTGTTTCACATTTTGAAATCGTTGATATTTGATATAAGTTGTGATATAAGACGTACTGTGTAGGAGGACTCCTTGAGTACTAGCGAGAAAGGCAAGTCTCATGCGCCGCCTAGTGGCGAGCGTACGAACCACCGCAACTTTAATCGGTGTTAGAGTAACGTTCTGTAAATCTATTCGTTCTATCTCACAGTAATGATCGTTGTGTTTTGTAGAAGAGGTATACTGTTTTCAGACAACATGTTTTAATAAATGGCGCTATTTCTTTAAACTTAACAATTGTGTAATACAAGTATTTACAATGGTTTTGTTAAATTGTTTCACATTTTGAAATCGTTCATATTTGATACGAGTTGGCCTTTGATATAAGGGATTTGATATAAGTTGTACATATTTTGTATACATAATTTTATACATAAAATATCTATATTTACAAATTTGTAATTTTTCAAGTCTAAAAATACTGAATTTCGCTTGGTAAAATTAAAAAATCATTATTTTATCCGAAAATGAGAAAAAACTTTTTTAGCTACAACGATGAATATTAAAAGGGATATTATTCGTCACCGGTAGCTTGAATAGATAAAAAAACAATCCATCAAGCCGTTGTTTGTTTTGAAAGCGCAGCAATAACTGAGGCATTGTTATATCAATCTATTCCTTCTATCTCACAGTAATGATTGTTATATTTTGCAGAAGAGGTATATTATTTTCAGATAACATGTTTTAATAAATAGCGCTATTTCCTTAAATTTAAAAAGTCCCGTTACTTTTCCAACATAAATCTCTCCACCCACATAAACATCCACATCGAACCCCTTTAATTTCCTCCAAGCCCAGCTATTCGATTACACGAAAACTCGCGGTAATTCGACACGGTAGCCGATGGAATTATCTGACTAGAAAGCTAACAGTTACCATGTCAAATTCGAGCGATATAACCGAATGAAAATTGTTCGTCGGCGTCGACACCTGTTCTATTCACAGCTTAAACGGCAAACCGCTCGAAAGTTTCACAAAGTCACGGACTAACTTCAGCTACAAGTAGAACTTATTACCAGATTAAGTTGCTCAGCTTCTTGTTCGAGTCGAGAATTGATTATTTCGACGGTGGCCGCATTAATCTTCCAGACGAATTAATGGAACTTGCAAAATACGACGGGAACAATGAATTTTTTATCCACCGACAAGAGTACGATAATTGCTTGCCTATTGTTCGCGAAAACTTTTTAGTGGTCGTGGTGATTCAACTTTCTTTCTATTGATACTTTTATGCCAGTTAGTTACTTCAATTCGACGATTTTTTTCAGTGCTATGGCCAGAGAATATCTTATATTAAATACTGCTCTTATTAATAACATTTAATGACAGATACTTTGATTACATTTCGTTTGTAATTTTAGAAATATTTTAGTTTTTAAGATAAATCAGAAAGTAGTCGTTGCTAATTTTTTGAGGTTGTCTTATTTTTGTGAAATGTATACATTTTTCTTTTTTTTATTTATTTTATTGTATACCATTTTATGTTATAAATGACAAATAATTTTATTGAATGTAATACACATTTTGTTGAATATAATAATTTTTCAATTTAAAAAAATGGAAGTAGTAATGAACTAGTAATGTAGAAGTAGTAATGAAGTAACAAACTGAGAAATTTGGTAATCAAAGTGCCAACACGAGCAAATTCCAGAATCGAAAATGTAGGGTGCACAGAGAGAGAGAGGAGAATAGTATATGTGATTTGCAACCTGAAACGGAGCAGGTGGCCATTGTGACAAACATCATTCTACAACCGCAAACCCAACGTGAAAGCATTTGATGTTTGCCATAAATTACAAACTCGAACAGCTCGATTAAGTCCCGCAGGATTTCCAGTTTCGAAGCTTGTAACTTTCGCGTTGTTAAAAAGCACAATACCCAGCAAAATTTCCTAATACAAAAAGAACAATGTAAATTTTCTAATCTGTAATTTTAACAAATCTCTCTAAATTCCAAACTAAGCTTGTCAAAGTAAAATTTTCATTGAAAATTTCCTTCGTGTTTTTCTTTCCAGCAGCATTCGCTGTGTAAACACTGCTTACAAGCTCAATAACGTTTACGTCGCACACAAGATAATATTGCCATAACAGCGACGGACCGCAAATTTGATTTTCTCTGAAACTAAGCCGAGGATCACTTTTATTATTTTTTCGCGTGATTAATTTTACTCGTTCAGTCAAATTTGCTGGGTTACCAGCGCGTGGTAATCCAACGCGTAGTGATGCAATATGTGGTAAGGATACGCGTAGTAATGCAACGTGAGGTAATCCAATGCGTAGTAATCCAACGCGTAGTAATCCAACGCGCAGTAACCCAGCGTGTGAATATCCAACGCGTAATAATCCAGCGCGTGGATATTCAACGCGTAGTAATCCAACGCTTAGTAATACAACGCGTGGTAATTCTACGCGTAGGAATCTAACGCGTGGAAATCTAGCGCGTAGTTAACCAACGCGAAGTAATGCAACGAGTGGTAATTCTACGCGTACTAATGCAACGTGTGGTAATCTAACGCGTAGCAATCAGAGCGCGAGGATTGCGCGCGCTCAGCCACTAGGCTCGAAGCTGTCGCTCTCGCGTCTGCGCATGCGCAATCCTCGCGCTCTGATTGGTCCGCGTTTTTCCTTAATAATTCAAAAACGAAGCTTCCTACCCCATTTTTGCAAAGGGAAATCTTATTCAGAATCACGTCAGTTAC